TATCACGACGAAGAGCAAGGCGACCGCTATGTACTCGATTTGGTGTGTTGAAGTGTTGTGTGACATTTGAGAACAACAAGACAGCAGACAACGACTGGTTCCGCCTGGAGTCCAACAAGGAGGGAACCAGGTCTGACACACACACTGGTGTTGTCACAATACCAGAATTTTGACTTCGATACCAGGTTTAATATCAAAATACTCAATATCATCACAATACTCAATACCAAAATGATACCATCACGATACTCGATACCATCACGATACTCGATACCAAAACGATACCAAGGCAAGTAAAGAAGGTATATTAGCCAAAAGGTCCAGAATGGTGCTTGATCCGGACAGATCTGTAGAGTTCAATATCATTACATTTGACATTTTTGAATGTATGCATTAATCAATCATACAATTAATTTGACTTTGTTTTTACCAATCTAACTACATAACGTAATGGAAATCATTTATCTGAATGCTAAGTCTCTGTAAATAAACTGGGTAAATCAAGATGTAGCCTAAGACTATTCACAATACAGGTGAATGCATACTCAATAGGAGTGTGTACATTGAGTTATTGAGCTTGTTTTGGCTGATTTCACGGGGCTACAGTTGAAAGGTTTCCCTTCCATTTGGAATAAGTGATCTCTTCTTTTATAAAAGTGCAGCTGTCTCTTTAAGACCCATGACATCATCCACAGCTTTGAGTCAGTTGGTTCAGTGAAGAAGGAGAGGTGAGGCAGAGATGCACTACATGGCCAAAAGTATGTGGACACCCCTTCAAATTAGTGGATTTGGTTATTTCAGCCACACCCGTTGCTGACCGGCGTATAAAATCGAGCACACCACCATGCAATCTCCATAGACAAACAATGGCAGTAGAATGGCCTTACTGAAGAGCTCAGTGACTTTCAATGTGGCACCGTCATAGGATGCCACCTTTCCAACAAATCAGTTCCTAAAATGTCTGCCCTGCTAGAGCTGCCCCGGTCAACTGTAAGTGCTGTTATTGTGAAGTGGAAACGTCTAGGAGCAACAACGGCTCAGCCGCGAAGTGGTAGGCCACACAAGCTCACAGAATGGGGCCGCCAAGTTCCAAACTGCCTCTGGAAGCAACGTCAGCACAATAACTGTTTGTCGGGAGCTTCATGAAATGGGTTTCCATGGTCGAGTAGCCGCACACAAGCATCAGATCACCATGCGCAATGCCAAGCGTCGGCTGGAGTGGTGTAAAGCTCACTGCCATTGGACTCGAGAGCAGTGGAAACGCGTTCTATGGAGTGATGAATCACGCTTCACCATCTGGCAGTCCGATGGAGGAATCTGGGTTTGGCGGATGCCAGGAGAACGCTACCTGCCCGAATACATAGTGCCAACTGTAAAGTTTGGTGGAGGAGGAATATTGGTCTGGGGCTGTTTTTCATGGTTCGGGCTAGGCCCCTTAGTTCCAGTGAAGGGAAATCCTAATGCTACAGCATACAATGACATTCTAGACGTTGTGGCAACAGTTTGGGGAAGGCCCTTTCCTGTTTCAGCATGATAAATCCCCCGTGCTCAAAGCGAGGTCCATACAGAAATGGTTTGTCGAGATCGGTGTGGAAGAACTTGACTGCCCTGCACAGAGCCCTGACCTCAACCCCGTCGAACACCTTTGGGATGAATTGGAACGCCGACTGCGAGCCAGGCCTAATCGCCCAACATCAGTGCCCGACCTCACTAATGCTCTTGTGGCTGAATGGAAGCAAGTCCCTGCAGCAATGTTCCAACATCTAGTGGAAAGCCTTCCCAGAAGAGTGGAGGCTGTTATAGCAGCAAAGGGGGGACCAACTCCATATTAATGGCCATGATTTTGGAATGAGATGTTCAACGAGCAGGTGTCCACATACTTTTGGCCATGCACTGTATTTTCTTCAGTATCTCTGAGTCAAGTGAATTAACAAAGTTCTGAAAATCAGCATATTTTGCGTCATGGTCAAAAACAAAGTTCTAGGGTAGTGAATTGATGTTGGCTTCAGCTGTACACGAGCAAGGGAAGTTAGCCTTCAAAGCTGGACGCTACCAGTATTTTCTTGCATTGTAAAGTGTTCTAGCCTGTAATGGAAATTGTTTTGCGAACGGTAATTAACAGTTTCAACATATCTACATGCCTTGTTGCATCATTCAAGTGAGTTAACTTCTGTGCAGCATGAGTGGAGAGCTAACATGATGCTGCCCAGACTCCCAGTGCAGTGGTTCCTCATCAGGACAGGCTAGCTCTAGCAATGAGAAAGTGGAGCAGGCAAGAGGTGTTGCTCACGCTAGGGGACATCGGCTGCGCTGGTTGACAGACTTGATCCTCTCAATCAGTATACGACGTGAGACACATTTGACAGAAGAACCGAAAGTAACAAAAATGTTAGTACTGAACCGTTTTGCATTATCTAGTATCGAAAAAGTACCGAAGTTTTGGTATACTGTGCAACACTAACACACACACACTACACCACACCACCAACCACACCACACCACACCACACCACACCACACCAGACCACACCAGACCAGACCACACCAGACCACACCAGACCACACCAGACCACACCACACCAGACCACACCACACCAGACCACACCACACCACACCAGACCACACCAGACCACACCACACCAGACCACACCACACCAGACCACACCACACCAGACCACACCAGACCACACCACACCACACCAGACCACACCAGACCACACCACACCTTTAGTCTTAGTTACAATTTAGTAATTTAATCCTTTGTTAGTTTTAGTTATTATCAGTCGACTAAAACTCTGGATAATTTTAGTCTAGTTGTTATCTGACCAATCCTGTGTGTTGTTGTTGTCAACTGACCAATCTTGTGTGGTGTTTCAACTGACCAATCCTGGGTGGTGGTGTTGCCAGGTGGTTTGGGAAGTGCTGGTACATTCATGACCTCCTGAAGTATGAGTTCGACATGGAGTTTGATGTAAGTACACCCTAACCCTAACCCTAACCCTAACCCTAACCAGGCTAACCCTAACCCTAACCCTAACCAGGCTAACCCTAACCCTAACCAGGCTAACCCTAACCCTAACCAGGCTAACCCTAACCCTAACCAGGCTAACCCTAACCCTAACCAGGCTAACCCTAACCCTAACCCTAACCCTAACCACACGCACCACACCAAGGTTTCCATTAGCCGGTAATAACCGGCTTTTGGGCAAAAATTAATATAAAGCAGATAAATAAAATGGTCCGAAAAATAATAATAATAATCCCATTGCAAAATAATGAATTTTTGCCTATTCATTAATTTTTAAATACCAGTCGATGTAGCGTGAGATCTGCTGCTACAGCTCATCAAACAGCGGACTAGGTATTTAGGGTTAGTTAGGGTTAGTTGGGGTTAGTTAGGGTTAGTTGGGGTTAGTTAGGGTTAGTTGGGGTTAGTTACATTTACATTTACATTTTAGTCATTTAGCAGACGCTCTTATCCAGAGCGACTTACAGGAGCAATTAGGGTTAAGTGCCTTGCTCAAGGGCACATTAACGTCATTTAGCAGACGCTCTTAGCCAGAGCGACTCACAAATTGGTGCGTTCACCCTATAGCCAGTGGGATAACCACTTTACAATTGGGGGGGGGGGGGGGGGTGGTGGTAGAAGGATTCCTTTATCCTATCCCAGGTATTCCTTAAAGAGGTGGGGTTTCAAATGTCTCCGGAAGGTGGTGAGTGACTCCGCTGTCCTGGCGTCGTGAGGGAGCTTGTTCCACCATTGGGGTGCCAGAGCAGCGAACAGTTTTGACTGGGCTGAGCGGGAACTATGCTTCCGCAGAGGAAGGGGAGCCAGCAGGCCAGAGGTGGATGAGCGCAATGCCCTCGTTTGGGTGTAGGGACTGATCAGAGCCTGAAGGTACAGAGGTGCCGTTCCCCTCACTGCTCCATAGGCAAGCACCATGGTCTTGTAGCGGATGCGAGCTTCAACTGGAAGCCAGTGGAGTGTGCGGAGGAGGGGGGGTGACGTGAGAGAACTTGGGAAGGTTGAACACCAGACGGGCTGCGGCATTCTGGATGAGTTGTAGGGGTTTAATGGCACAGGCAGGGAGGCCAGCCAACAGCGAGTTGCAGTAGTCCAGACGGGAGATGACAAGTGCCTGGATTAGGACCTGTGCCGCTTCCTGTGTAAGGCAGGGTCGTACTCTCCGAATGTTGTAGAGCATGAACCTGCAGGAGCGGGTCACCGCCTTGATGTTGGCGGAGAACGACAGGGTGTTGTCCAGGGTCACGCCTAGGCTCTTCGCACTCTGGGAGGAGGACACAGCGGAGTTGTCAACCGTGATGGCGAGATCATGGAACGGGCAGTCCTTCCCCGGGAGGAAGAGCAGCTCCGTCTTGCCAGGGTTCAGCTTGAGGTGGTGATCCGTCATCCATACTGATATGTCTGCCAGACATGCAGAGATGCGATTCGCCACCTGGTTATCAGAAGGGGGAAAGGAGAAGATTAGTTGTGTATCGTCAGCGTAGCAATGATAGGAGAGACCATGTGAGGATATGACAGAGCCAAGTGACTTGGTGTATAGGGAGAAAAGGAGAGGGCCTAGAACTGAGCCTTGGGGGACACCAGTGGTGAGAGCACGTGGTGCGGAGACAGCTTCTCGCCACGCCACTTGGTAGGAGCGACCGGTCAGGTAGGACGCAATCCAGGAGTGAGCCGCGCCGGAGATGCCCAGCTCGGAGAGGGTGGAGAGGAGGATCTGATGGTTCACAGTATCAAAGGCAGCAGACAGGTCTAGAAGGACAAGAGCAGAGGAGAGAGAGTTAGCTTTAGCAGTGCGGAGAGTCTCCGTGACACAGAGAAGAGCAGTCTCAGTTGAATGACCAGTCCTGAAACCTGATTGGTTTGGATCAAGAAGGTCATTCTGAGAGAGATAGCAAGAGAGTTGGCTAAAGACGGCACGCTCAATAGTTTTGGAAAGAAAAGAAAGAAGGGATACTGGTCTGTAGTTGTTGACATCAGTGGGGTCGAGTGTTGGTTTTTTGAGAAGGGGAGCAACTCTCGCTCTCTTGAAGACGGAAGGGACATGGCCAGCGGTCAAGGATGAGTTGATCAGCGAGGTGAGGTAGGGGAGAAGGTCACCGGAGATGGTCTGGAGAAGGGAGGAGGGGATGGGGTCAAGCGGGCAGGTTGTTGGGCGGCCTGCAGTCACAAGTCGCAGGATTTTATCTGGAGAGAGAGGGGAGAAAGAAGTCAAAGCATAGGGTAGGGCAGTGTGAGCAGGACCAGCAGTGTCATTAGACTTATCAAACGAGGATCGGATGTCGTCAACCTTCTTTTCAAAGTGGTTGACGAAGTCATCCACAGAGAGAGAGGAGGGGGGGGGGGGAGGGGGGGGGGGGGGGGGGGATTCAGGAGGGAGGAAAATGTGGCAAAGATCTTCCTAGGGTTAGAGGCAGATGCTTGGAATTTAGAGTGGTAGAAGGTGGCCTTAGCAGCAGAAACAGATGAAGAAAATGTAGAGAGGAGGGAGTGAAAAGATGCCAGGTCGGCAGGGAGTTTAGTTTTCTTCCATTTCCGCTCCGCTGCCCGGAGCTCTGTTCTGTGAGCTCGCAGTGAGTCATCAAGCCACGGAGCTGGAGGGGAGGACCGAGCCGGCCGGGAGGATAGGGGACACAGAGAGTCAAAGGATGCAGAAAGGGAGGAGAGGAGGGTTGAGGAGGCAGAATCAGGAGATTGGAGGGAGAAGGATTGAGCAGAGGGAAGAGATGATAGGATGGAAGAGGAGAGAGTAGTGGGAGAGAGAGAGCGAAGGTTGCGGTGGCGCATTACCATCTGTGTAGGGGCAGAGTGAGTAGTGTGGGAGGAGAGCGAGAGAGAAAAGGAAACAAAGTAGTGGTCGGAGACATGGAGGGGAGTTGCAGTGAGATTAGTAGAGGAGCAGCATCTAGTGAAGATGAGGTCAAGCGTATTGCCTGCCTTGTGAGTAGGGGGGGACGGTGAGAGGGTGAGGTCAAAAGAGGAGAGGAGTGGAAAGAAGGAGGCAGAGAGAAATGAGTCAAATGTGGACATAGGGAGGTTGAAATCCCCCAAAACTGTGAGGGGTGAGCCATCCTCAGGAAAGGAACTTATCAAGGCGTCAAGCTCATTGATGAACTCTCCAAGGGAACCTGGAGGGCGATAGATGACAAGGATATTAAGCTTAAATGGGCTAGTGACTGTGACAGCATGGAATTCAAATGAGGAACTCCAGGTGTGGGCTGCGTGCAGGGACCACCAGGTTAGAGAGGCAGCAGCCACGCGGTGTGGTGCGTTTGTGTAGCCTGTGCAGAGAGGAGAGAACAGGGATAGGCAGAGGCATAGTTGACAGGCTGTAGCAAATGGCTACAATAATGCAGAGGAGATCGGAATGAAATGAACTAAACATCTGGGAGAGAAACTTCTACCTCAGAAACTATAATTGTTTCACTGAACCACCCGAGCAAAAACTCTACCAACTTCCACCTTAGAAATCAGAATTGTTGTGAACCACAGCGGTTCAATGTTTAAAGGAATAGACTCAACCCACTTTATTCAGCTAGCTAACTATGACACCATAGCTAACTAGCATGCTAGTATCCAAAAAAAAAAACACAGTTTAGCACCAACACTTGGTCACAACAAACCACCAATAGTGGTTTGTTGTTTTTAACGTTGGCTAGCTTTAACTCCCAAATATAACTCTCCCAACTTCCACCTCAGAAGCTATAATTGTTGTAAACTACAGCGGTTCAATGTTTCTAGGAATAGACTAACTCAGTTTATTCAGCTAGCTAACTAGGTGCAGTATTATTCCGTGAAAATCGTCCGGGCACCTAGTCATAAGACGCCACAGCCAGCTAGCATGCCGGGCTCCAACAACGCGGTTTAACGCCAGTACTCTGCCACAACAAACCACCAGTGTATCAACGCGCAAGCAGATCGTTCGTGTCCGTGTCGAACGTTGTGGGTTAGTCCCGACAGCTTGAGCGAGTCCGTCGTCAACTTATTCAGCCAGTTAGTTAGCTAGAATAGTTAGCAAACTAGCTAGCCATTGCTTTCAGACAAAGAAGAACCCCTCCTTTCACGGCACGAACACACAGAGAGAGCCAAACGAACGTTAACTAGTCACCCATGTCCCAAATTCCTTGAACGACTTGGGCTATCAATATGTAAAAAGCAAAACAAATGTAGGTTATGACTTACCCCTAGCAGCTACTGTTAGCTAGCCAAGTGCAAAGCTAGCCACTGAATTGACTCAGCCAGTTCGCGTCTGTTCACACGGTCGTTCCAGCTATTGTTTACTAGTAGCCAACCAGGTAGCAACAAGCTAGCTAATATTTCAAGCGCAGTAGCCACTTGCTACCTAACGTTAACGGTTCAGACAATGAGGTTAGGAAAGAGCTGAATGGTAGGCAATTATTGTATGTAATTATTGTAGGCAGCCAGCTGGCGTAATTACAGGCCCTCTCAGGCGTGAAATAACTGTACCGTTGCTAATAGCTACTCGCCAGCTAGTCCCGGTGGTGGGTTAGCTAGCTAGCTTCGTGCTACGCTGGGCAACGCTGGGCACAGCCGAATACAATACTAACCTACAATAATTACATACAACAACCCACAATAACTAACTACAATCTAAATACGTAGTTTAAGCCTTACTCGACAAAGCCCAAGCTATGTGTAAAGCCAAGCTAACCCGACGCCAAGCCAAGTTGACTCCCCGTCCGTGAATACTTAAACAATACGTAAACAATACAATACTTACCTACAATAATTGCCTACGGAAACCTACAATAACAACCTAAATAACTACCTAAATAAACTACCTACCTACGATCTAAATACATGGTTTAAGCTTAACTCAACACCATATGAGAAGCCAAGCTTACCTCCTGCTAGAGAAAACAGCAGGAGGTAAGGCGGTAGTTAGGGTTAGTTAGGGTTAGTTGGGGTTAGTTAGGGTTCAGTGGAGTGAAACATAGGCTATTCTAAATGCAATCACATGTTTCAAACAGCAGCTCAAGGGCATAGGCAACTAGGCAGCACCTAACCAGGCTAACCCTAACCAGGCTAACCCTAACCAGGCTAACCCTAACCAGGCTAACCCTAACCAGGCTAACCCTAACCAGGCTAACCCTAACCCTAACCAGGCTAACCCTTCAGCACGTCACACGCCACTTTGCAATGAGCTGGAGGCTGTATCCATTTTGAAAACATACTTAATTATTTAAAACCTGAATGTTTTACTACATATTATGAGGCACGTCTTACCTTGCTTCAAAGTAGCCGAGCCAAAATCAGACCAGGCAGGCAATTATTTTATAAAGACTTCCATGTGCCATTGAAACCAGTAGCCTATTTCCTTCATGCTCAATTGGTTATCAACTTTCTTTCATTGTCCGGTAGCCAAAGGAACAACTCTAGTCATATTAGCAACCCCATGCTAGTTTATCTCCTCTTTCTACATTTCTAACAGATATTTTCATCTCTGTCTCATGAAGCCGCTAGCATGTGCGGTGGCCTTTTGACAACGGTGTTTTCCCGCTAATTATGGAAGGAACATTCACCTGTAGTCTGCAGCCTCGTGCGCATCGCTGCACTTATAATGTGAAGAAAAAATATTTTACCACCATGTTGAGCTAAACGTTCTGATCTATTGCATCATACTCATTACTTTAGATGTATTGTTATGTAGTCTAGGCCTACTGGTTGAATTAATTTGGGATCGTCCCACAACTGGCCCAGAGTCTGTTTGGAACAGGCTATATAGCTGACCAATAGAATAGGTTGACTGTTCTACTATGGGGGATATTAGATTGACAGACTAGTGATCCTGCTGTTCGTTACTCGTCTTGTTGGCTGAGGAAAAGTAAATGTTTTTCAATTAATATTTTTGCACATCAGAATTCGGTAAGAAAGACCGCACATCATTGCATCCTTGATTTGCATGTTCTGTTAAGATGAATGACCATAATCTGAAGGTGATTTCTGTCATTCTGAGCTCCGTGGGTGGATGCCCTAAGGGGTTATGCACCCAATGCATATGGGCCCGGTAAATGTCTCAAATGGCGGGTAAATTAAAAATGCTGCCCGGTCAAATGTCCAGCAAACACTGACACACACCTGTCTCTCCTGTCTGGTTAGATTCCTGTAACGTACCCGTCCACCGCCCCCGAGGTCGCCATCCCAGAGCTGGATGGGAAAACCGCCAAGATGTACAGGTAAGTTACATACACAGATGGCCCAATGTGATGGAGATTGGTGCAGGGTGACATGGTTCCTGTCTTGTTGCAGGGGGGGGAAGATTTGTCTGACGGACCACTTCAAACCCCTGTGGGCGCGGAACGTACCAAAGTTTGGATTGGCTCACCTGATGGCCCTGGGGGTACGTGCGGTGTGTGTGTATGTGTGTGCGTCTGATGTGTGTCTGTGTGTCTCTGGTGTGTGTGTCTGAGGTGTGTGTGTGTGTGTCTGAGGTGTGTGTGTGTGTGTGTGTGTGTGTGTGTTATGTATGTGTGTGTGTGATGTGTGTGTCTGGTGGGTGTGTGTGTCTGGTGGGTGTGTGTGTGTCTGAGGTGTGTGTGTGTGTGGTGGGTGTGTGTGTGTGTGTGTGTCTGGTGTGTTGTGTCTGGTGTGTGTGTGTCTGGTGTGTGTGTGTGTCTGGTGTGTGTGTGTGTGTGTCTGGTGTGTGTCTTGTGTGTGTGTGTGTGTGTGGTGGGTGTGTGTGTCTGGTGTGTGTGTGTGTGTCTGGTGTGTGTGTGTGTGTCTGGTGTGTGTGTGTCTGGTGTGTGTGTGTGTCTGGTGTGTGTGTGTGTGTCTGGTGTGTGTCTTGTGTGTGTGTGTGTGTGTGTATTAGTTCTGTGTTATTAGACTTGGCTGTACTACTAACTACTACTAACTCCACTAGGAAGGAAGTACACCCCTTTTTTTTACATGGATAATTGATCTTCATTTCAATACTATTGACAGATAAAGGAAACCTAATTTATCAAATAACACTGAAAAGCTACACTTGGCAATCATTTATTCAACAAAAAATGTCCTTGTGCGGGAAAAATAAGTACTCCCCTAGCTACAATAGCTGGTGTTCCTCTGTAGCTCAGCTGGTAGAGCACGGCGCTTGTAACGCCAAGGTAGTGGGTTCGATCCCCGGGACCACCCATACACAAAAATGTATGCACGCATGACTGTAAGTCGCTTTGGATAAAAGCGTCTGCTAAATGGCATATTTTTATATTATTATGTGTTGCCCCCTTTTGGCTGAAATAACTTAATGTAGGCGTTTCTGGTAACTGTCTATCAGAAATTGCATTTCTAATTGTGTTAAAGATTGCTAAGTGTAATTTTTCAGTGTTATTTGTTACCTTTATCTGTCAATAGTATTGAAATTAAGATCAAATATCCATCTGTCTGAAAATAACTTTTCAGGGGTGGACATACTTCCTCACAGCTCTGCATGTCCAGTAACTAACTGACTCTCTCTCTGTGTGTGTAGTTGGGTCCGTGGCTGGCGGTGGAGGTTCCAGACCTGATCTCTAAAGGACTGATCACACACAGAGAGCAGCAGGGAAGCTGAGACCCCCCATGTTTACTGATGTGGTCCCAGTGAAGGTGCTGCTGCTGTTTGTTCTGAGAACCAGAAAACAGACTAATGATGTGGCTACTGTCACGTGACCACTCACTCTCCTGTTGCTTTAAAAGGCAATATTCCTGCGTTCACATTCAAGTTAAACTCTGCAGATGTCGGCTCAATCGGAAATTACTTTTAAATGTCATTTTCGCTATAGCACCATGTTGGATTGAATCGCAGCCTAGATTCCACTAGAAAACGGTTGTTTTATGATATTTAGTCACATGGCTGAGAGGCAAACTTCAGTGTTTGAGTTGACAGAATGTTGCTCCTGTGTCTAATAAAACATGTCTGATACCTGTCATGTGTTTTATCTCTGTTCTGATCTGTCTGATATCACTTCCGTCTGTATGTTCAGACCTGATACCTGTGGAAAGGTTACTCATAGAATGACCCAACCCTAACCCAACCCTAACCCTAACCCAACCCAACCCTAACCCAACCTAACCCTAACCCTAACCTAACCCCAACCCTAACCCATATTATACCTTTAATAAGGTCTCTGTGGGGTTACTAGTCCTAACCCTAACCCAACCCTAACCCTAACCCCAACCCTAACCGTAACCCTAACCCAACCCTAACCCTAACCCAACCCTAACCCATATTATACCTTTAATAAGGTCTCTGTGGGGTTACTAGTCCTAACCCTAACCCAACCCAACCCTAACCCATATTATACCTTTAATAATATGTATGGTCAGACTGAGGAGGACTGACTAGAGTATGGTCAGACTGAGGAGGACTGACTGGAGTATGGTCAGACTGAGGAGGACTGACTGGAGTATGGTCAGACTGAGGAGGACTGACTGGAGTATGGTCAGACTGAGGAGGACTGACTGGAGTATGGTCAGACTGAGGAGGACTGACTGGAGTATGGTCAGACTGAGGAGGACTGACTGGAGTATGGTCAGACTGAGGAGGACTGACTGGAGTATGGTCAGACTGAGGAGGACTGACTGGAGTATGGTCAGACTGAGGAGGACTGACTGGAGTATGGTCAGACTGAGGAGGACTGACTGGAGTATGGTCAGACTGAGGAGGACTGACTGGAGTATGGTCAGACTGAGGAGGACTGACTGGAGTATGGTCAGACTGAGGAGGACTGACTGGAGTATGGTCAGACTGAGGAGGACTGACTGGAGTATGGTCAGACTTCGTCTACCAAGGCACTAATTCAGGGGTCTCCAACCTTTTCTAGCAAGATAACTACTTTAAAAAATGAGCTATAATTATTATTATTAAATTCTTCTCTTCTCCCCTGCAGCTGTTCCCCGGTTCCTTGGTGTCCAAGATAATGTTTTCTTTCAATATGCCTGGTAAAATAAAGGTTAATAAACAACTAAGGGGAGCCCTATAAAAGCAGATTCAGTTTTAGATTTATTTAGTTTTTCACCCAAAATTATAATTGTTCATAGAGAAACAATGAAATTGGATGTTCTCAGTCCATGTCAATGCTTAAATCACATCTGAATACCATTTTTTTTTTTGTCTGGAAGAAAACGAACAGTTAGATATTTTTGGTGTATTTCCCCTTTAATTGTGAATCTAGGGAATGTGCCAGTCTAGTGGTGGGTCGGGCGCCTGCAAGCTGACTTCGGTCGCCAGCTGGACGGTGTTTCCTCCGACACATTGGTGCGGCTGGCTTCCGGGTAAAGCGAACAGTATGTCAAGAAGCAGTGCGGCTTGGCAGGGTCGTGTTTCGGAGGACGCATGGCTCTCGATCTTCGCCTCTCCCAAGTCTGTAGGGGAGTTGCAGCGATGGGACAAGACTGTAACTGGATATCACGATGGGACAAGACTAACTACCAATTGGAATGAAAAAGGGGTAAAAGTACACGCATATTTTCCGCCATTTTCTTCAAATCTGAAAACGTTATGAAGCCACGCCCATTTTATGAAGCATTGCATTATTGGCCCTAAAAGCACGGAAATAGTGTCCACTGCTTGTATACTTCGTATTTTGGCGAATTTAGTACGACATCCAGGAACTTTTGGCATACTAACTATATCCATACTATGACCAATAAGCGTACTATATACTCAATTCACGTCATAAATAGTATGGTTAGTATGAGTATTCGAACACAGCTTTGGTTTTGGTGTTTTAACCTGCGTGTCATGAATGCGTCTGGTGGGAATAGACTAAATCAGGGCCTCTCGAGTGGCGCAGCGGTCTAAGGCACTGCATCGCAGTGCTTGAGGCATCACTACAGACCGGGGTTCAATCCCAGCTGGCTGTGACCAGAAGACCCATGAGGCGGCGCACAATTGTCCGGGTTAGGGAAGGGTTTGGCCGGCCGGGATTTCCTTGTCCCATCGTGATCTAGTGACTCCTTGTGGCAGGTCGGGCGCCTGCAAGCTGACGTAGGTCGCCAGCTGGACAGTGTTTCCTCCGACACATTGGTGCGGCTGGCTTCTGGATTAAGTGAGCAGTGCAGCTTGGAAGGGTCATGTTTCGGAGGACGCATGGCTCTTGACCGTCGGCTCTCCCGAGTCCGTAGGGGAGTTGCAGCAATGGGACAAGACTGTAACTGGATATCACGAAAAAGGGGTAAAAGTACAATTTATTGTTATTTTTTTTATAGACAAAATCAACATACGCGCGGAGCCGGTCTGGTCAGCATGAGAGATAAACGCCACACAGACAGACGGGGCAATATTGCTGGGAATTAATCAAATCAAATCAAATGTTATTTGCCAGATGCGCCGAATAACACAGGTGTAGACCTTACATTGAAATGCTTACTTAAAAGCCCTTAACCAACAATGGAGTTTTAAGAAAAATAAGTGAAAATGAAAAAATTGATAAGTAAAAAATGCAAATAGTCCGGTAGCCATGATTAGCTGTTCGGGAGTCTTATGGCTTGGGGGTAGAAGCTGTTAAGAAGCCTTTTGGACCTAGACTTGGCGCTCCGGTACCGCTTGCCGTGCGGTAGCAGAGAGAACAGTCTATGACTAGGGTGTCTGGAGTCTTTGACAATTTTTAGGGCCTTCCTCTGACACCGCCTGGTATAGAGGTCCTGGACGGTAGGAAGCTTGGACCCAGTGATGTACTGGGCCGTACGCACTACCCTCTGTAGTGCCTTGCGGTCGGAGGCCGAGCAGTTGCCATACCAGGCAGTGATGCAACCAGTCAGGATGCTCTCGATGGTGCAGCTGTAGAACCTTTTGAGGATCTGAGGACCCATGCCAAATCTTTTCAGTCTCCTGAGGGGGAATAGGCTTTGTCGTGAACTCTTCACGACTGTCTTGGTCTGTTTGGACCATGATAGTTTGTTGGTGATGTGGACACCAAGGAACTTGAAGCTCTCAACCTGTTCCACTACAGCCCCGTCGATGAGAATGGGGGCGTGCTCAGTCCTCTTTTTTTCCCTATAGTCCACAATGATCTCCTTTGTCTTGGTCACGTTGAGGGAGAGGTTGTTGTCCTGGCACCACACGGCCAGATCTCTGACCTCCTCCCTATAGGCTGTCTCATCGTTGTCGGTGATCAGGCCTACCACTGTTGTGTCGTCGGCAAACTTAATGATGGTGTTGGAGTCGTGCCTGGCCATGCAGTCATGGGTGAACAGAGAGTACAGGAGGGGACTGAGCACGCACCCCTGAGGGGCCCCCGTGTTGAGGATCAGTGTGGCAGATGTGTTGTTACCTACCCTTACCACCTGGGGGCGGCCCGTCAGGAAGTCCAGGATCCAGTTGCAGAGGGAGGTGTTTAGTCCCAGGATCCTTAGCTTAGTGATGAGCTTAGAGGGCACTATGGTGTTGAATGCTGAGCTGTAGTCAATGAATAGCATTCTCACGTAGGTGTTCCTCTTGTCCAGGTGGGAAAGGGCAGTGTGGAGTGAAATAGAGATTGCATCATCTGTGGATCTGTTGGGGCGGTATGCAAATTGGAGTGGGTCTAGGGTTTCTGGGATTATGCTGTTGATGTGAGCCATGACCAGTCTTTCAAAGCACTTCATGGCTACAGACGTCAGTGCTACGGGTCGGTAGTCATTTAGGCAGGTTATCTTAGAGTTCTTGGGCACGGGGACTATGGTGGTCTGCTTGAAACATGTTGGTATTACAGACTCAGTCAGGGACATGTTGAAAATGTCAGTGAAGACACTTGCCAGTTGGTCAGCACATGCTCGGAGTACACGTCCTGGTAATCCGTCTGGCCCTGCGGCCTTGTGAATGTTGACCTGCTTAAAAGTCTTACTCACATCGGCTACGGAGAGCGTGATCACATAGTCATCCGGAACAGCTGGTGCTCTCATGCATGCTTCAGTGTTGCTTGCCTCGAAGCGAGCATAGAAGTGGTTTAGCTCGTCTGGTAGGCTTGTGTCACTGGGCAGCTCGCGGCTGTGCTTCCCTTTGTAGTCTGTAATAGTTTTCAAGCCCTGCCACATCCGACGAGCGTCAGAGCCAGTGTAGTATGATTCAATCTTAGACCTGTATTGACTCTTTGCCTGTTTGATGGTTCGTCGGAGGTCATAGCGGGATTTCTTATAAGCGTCCGGGTTAGAGTCCCGTTCCTTGAAAGCGGCAGCTCTACCCTTTAGCTCAGTGCGGATGTTTCCTGTAATCCATGGCTTCTGGTTGGGGTATGTACGTACGGTCACTGTGGGGACGACATCATCGATGCACTTATTGATGAAGCCAGTGACTGATGTGGTGTACTCCTCAATGCTGTCTGAAGAATCCCGGAACATGTTCCAGTCTGTGCTAGCAAAACAGTCCTGTAGCTTAGCATCTGCGTCATCTGACCACTTTTTTATTAACCGAATCACTGGTGCTTCCTGCTTCAGTTTTTGCTTATAAGCAGGAATCAGGAGGATAGAGTTATGGTCAGATTTGCCAAATGGAGGGCGAGGGAGAGCTTTGTATGCGTCTCTGTGTGTGGAGTAAAGGTGGTCTAGAGTTTTTTTTCCCTCTGGTTGCACATTTAACATGCTGGTAGA